GAGAGTACTGATGTACTTAATTTCAATTAAGGCTATGTTTTGGACCATATTTAGCACAATTTATTTTTTATCTCGAAAACAGCTAGAGATAGGTATAGGACATTATTAACAAAAAAGTAATAAAATACCAGAGCGATTCCAAAAATATATAAATATACGGGGTGTTCCATTAAAAAAAGTAAAGTTGCTAGGACTTTTTGATGGAAGTGGCAACGCCGCAATGCTGAAAATATTTTAGATCGATAGAACAGGTAAGGAAATGTGAGAGGTAAAATTTTCAGATAAATCATGCTTTGAAGTTTTCCAGAAACGTCTAACCTACCATCGACCGTGAGTCACGCTGTCAATTTTAGTAACATTTATCGATCACAGAAGTAAAATTTTCAATGCCTAGCCGCTAGGAAATTTTTTTTAACGTTTTTTCAACGTTAAGTTTTATTTAAAATCTTGCTATGCATAAGCAGCCGACCAAAAAAATACTCCAATGATTTAATTCCAAAACAAAATTATTACCATATGTATATCTATATCTTGTGAAAATATATTGAAAGATAATAAAAATGTAAGCAGGTTTGGTTAGGTTAGCTCCAAAGTGAGTGGGTCTATTCGACCCTCCACCGCAACCCGCAAGGGTTTATTGTGGCTCACACCTATTCACACTCGACCAAATAAACTCAGATTCTTAACGGAGGCGATTAGTTTTATATGGTGAGTGGTCTTTCAGGTCAGATGGTAAGAGTAGGGTTGTGCAGAACTCTAGAAACCTTATTCGGTCTCCAGCGGGCTAGGAACAAAGTATGTGCTCTACTGTTTCATCACCTAACCTAACCTAATGTTTTTTAGATCAGTTCAATAATAATGAATAGGCTTCATCGAAAAATGAGAAGGAGTACAAACGAATAAAGCTACAGAAGTATTATTCTTCATCACAATCATTAAAGTATGCCCTATATAGAATCACAATAGTTGAATTGTCTGCAATAATTTTTAATGCACTGTTTGGAACCTTTGGTATAGTAATGAATATTACTAGTGTATAATCTCAACACCAAACCGTTTTTTCAACACCTCGACACGTGTTTCAATCACCAAGTAATAATATTGAAAAGGAAGATTAAACTCGATGGTTTGGCGAAGGTGCCGGACAAAAAATTGAGATTTAGTCGGCTTAACTCTTGATGGAAGGAAAAGAGATGATCTTCCTACTTGTTTACTTTGTGATAACTGAAAAAAAATCAGGTGAAACCGAATATAAATATGTTGAATAATTTCTAAGTTTATGCAATACACAAATCGTACTTGAAGTTGTTTATTTACCTGTACTCTAGATAATACATTGTTTCACAAAAAAATTAACTTCTAATCGATGATGATGAAAACCAAAACCTACACATATACTAGTCATTCCTACAATACGAGGTCTATTTCTAATAATCTAGTGTCTGTTCCATTTTATAAAAAGTCTCTACCACAAAGATTCATAACTTATTTTGGCCCAAAACTTCTCAACATGGTTCCCGANTATGTCTATGTCTAATCGATAATATTTTTGCAAGTAAGGACCAAGAATCCTGATGCTTTTAGGAATGATTATACATACAATATACAATTAATTCCAACGAGTGTGATGTCTATTTGAAGAACTCAGGTTAATCAAAAAACCTTCACGTCGATTCATAGATCATGAATAATAATTTATGGAAAAGATTTTTTCAAACTATCAATTAGTTCACTAGACTGAGGAATCGTTTTATAAAGTTTCGCAGATGATACGGCAATCTTTCATGAAAGTGAATCTTGGAGAACCCTGAAAAATGTGTGAAATTCAAAAATATTTCAATCAGAAAAAATATCATATAGATTTCGAAAAGATATAAACTCAATAAAATTTTTCTATCTTGCCAGACTCCAAGGATGTAGCGAAAGACAAAGCTTCGCCTTGCAACTGACCGTCTTTGGGAGCCTTTCTTATCTTTTGATAACACCTTCAGTAATATCTATAGTGAATTGTATATTGTATTCATTCACAAATTAATCGCAGATATCGCTGGAAGGTAATTAGAACTAATGTACTGTATAGAGAGCTCATACATTATCGCGTTTTGAGATTTTTTTGTGATTGAATCCAATTTATTTCATCTGTTATATAAAATGACGGTTCAATGAAAGTAGTTGAGTCTTTTTGAAACTGTGTATATAGCCATAGTTTGTCATTCTGATCAACTATTCTGTCAAGGCCAACTTGTCTTTTTGAAAACTGAAAATATCCTTGAAATTAATTTTTCGCCGAGCAAAACTCGATAAATACAATCTCAATTTTTTTTACATTTTCACATAGAGAAATATAGATTTTGTCTCCTTCCCTACCAAATATTATACAAGCAAACAATAATAACCAACTACATGGATTTTTTCCAATATTCATAATTAAAATAAAAAAATCTAATGGAATGACACAGTATTATTAGTGTAGAAAGGAAGTAAATTGGTGGTTCTTTGTCGATAATAATCTTTATATCATTTGATATTTGTCGATAACGGGAATATGAAATATCTAACACTCAATTTTTTTCTCCTCAATAACGAGGTAATGATCAGTAGGAGATAGAAAGTAAGATTTACTGATTAGAAACATGCATATGTCTCAGTTTGGAAATCTTTTGATTTCCNTAGCTAAACTTATTTTTTTGATATTTAATCAAAACACCAGAATAAAATAAAGTTTTGAATGTCAACTTTCATTTACTAGGGTCACTGTACGAAGCAAGAACCAAGCACTGGGCGATATCCTGCTGATCACCCCCTAAAGCCGTCTCTGTATATTCATTTCCTAACAAAAGTGAGATATCCTTTCAACGTGTATAATCAGTACAGTTCTTAAATTGAATGACGAGTCTACCAATTGATCCGATGGATTCCCCTATTTGTCGATTCGAATAGTAAGCGAGTTTCTATTGTTTGAAGCAATCCATCATTAATTTTATGTTGAATTTAATAACTCGCCTATTGTTACGCTGTTGACTTACTCTTAAATCCTTTCGCAGTCGATGTAACAAAGTCATGATTCTAAAAAATTTTGAACTATTTTCAGAAACAGTGGTTTTATATTTCACATTACACTAGTTCTCTGTTCCTATTTCCTACTCTATTTTTTTACAATTCAATCATCCTTTTTACTTGTCTCACTCGGTAAGTGAAATGAATTCACTGGCAAATTTCATGCAAACGCTCCCTCTAGGAGATGAACTATTAACCAAAAATTAACTTTTGTTTTGTATTGATTGTTTTCGGCAATCTAGATTGGAAAAGTCTTTCTATTTGATTGAAATCAGAAAAAATTAATAAAAGCCCCTGTTTCAGTAATCATCTTTAATTTTCTGGTGAGTTTTAAGTTATGAAACCTCTGGTAAACAGAGTTTTAACAAAATATTCGATGTTAAAAAAAGAGGGACCTCCCTGGGTTGAAGGATTATTTTAGTATCATCCCGATGATTCCATTGTCTCAACATTATTTTTCAGATTGCTATCATGTCAAAGAAAAATATTGCTGAACAAGAGACCATAATAAAAGATTCCCTCTTCGATTTGGTCAAAACCAACATTCCTGATGCAGATCTGAACTTGATTGATGAAATTGTTCTGTCTTATGTTGTTGCTATTCTGGAAGATGTTGGATCCGATCCAGTATTCGATGTTGAAGGTGAGATAATAGAAAAGTGTATACCTTGTAAGGAAATTCATGGCGAACAACTAAAAAGTTAACATTGCCATGTCAAGTGAATTTTGAAACCAAACATAATTATTATCTGTTGGAAGTATTATCTGTTACCCCCTGCTTTCACTCATTCTCCAATAATATTACTCACACTTGTGAAAAATGTGCATGAGGCAATTTTCCAAAATTACACCACAAGCAAGTGAATTCAAGGTTTGCAGGAAATATTTGTTATCAACTTCCCACCTTCACTATTTTGGATAGTTTTGAACCCATCACTCAACTTTTTATAGTTTTCAATTACTTGATATTGTTAAAGGTAGGTACATCTGTGTGGTCACAATGACTTTTCAGAAGTTTTTGACATTCGTATGACATAAATCATTCATGCAAGTTTTAAACTGAAAGCCAGTTATTAACTTTTCCGATAGTATATAAAAAGTGGTGAATTTACAAAAGTCTTTCTGAAATAACTACTTCTTCCTACGAACAGTGAATTGTACATTTAATCATTTTTTCTTCGATAATTTGCTCTACAAAAGTACATTGTTACACAATTACCCATTAAAAAGTGTTTTTATTCTCAATATGATCCCAGTGTTTCATGTGAAAACATAATTTTCCTTGTCGTGAGGAAATGAAATAGTAAACACAGTTCGATAAGAACTGTGGGTTGAATTTTTGTGATGGATTTTCTAAAATTAAAGTAATGAAATATACCTATTNGTTGATATATCAAAATACGTAAAACTACGTGCATTTTTAAAACGCAAATCTGAAAAATATGCTCCAAAACAGTCAAAAACATTAACTTCTGAAGAAATTCAATAATTTTTAAAAGATGCACCTGATGAAAAGTATTTGCTAATAAAGGTATGAATTGAAATTTTTAAATTGTTATCGAAAAATGAATGTTTGGTTTTGATTTCAGGCTGCTTTAGCTATTGGCCTTACAGGGGCATGCCCTTGTGATGAACTTCGAAAATTAAAAAATGATGACATGGAAGATCCTAATTCAGCTCTTTCATTAAAATTACCCGATACTAAAACCAAGGTTCCTAGAAATTTCAGAGTCACAGGAGAATTCTACCAAAATTACAAAAAATATGTGAAGCTTTGACCATGCACAAATGAAACACTTTTTTTTTAATTACAAAAATAGCAAATGTACGAAACAGCCTGTGGAGATGAATAAATTTGGCACCATGGCGAAAGAAATATCGAAATTTTTGCAATTACCGAACCCTGAATTATATACCGGCCACTGTTTCTAAAGGTCATCTGCGACTATTTTAGTTAATGCAGGGCAGATCTTTTAACTTTTAAAACGCCATGGGGGTTGGAAATTCAGCAATGTTGCTGAATCTTATATCTACAACTCCATAGATCAAAATGAAAATTTCAAAAAGTATAGTAGAATCCATTCAGCCTCCAGCGCCATTAGAACCTGAACACAACAATGCTGTGGAAGCTCAGTACGTTTCCCCATCAACTTCAACTTCGACCGGAGCTAATATTTCAATTACCAAAAACATGTTGAAACAAAACGACCTACCAGGAATTACTTTACAAAATTGTTCAAATATAACTGTTAATTACTATTTTAAATAAAATATAAAAATGAGTTAATGACATACAAGTATTATTAAATATGTATTTTAATTTTCAATACTTGAAAATAACGCAACCATATAAAGAGTACAGTGTACAGTGCGTGAGAAATATGTCGTTTTTCTCACTTGTTGTACGATATACTATTTATTATGTGATTTTGTCACTTACAATGCTCATGCTAAGTCAATTTTTTGTGATATCAGATGTCAAAATTTGTTACTCCCTTAGTAAGAATAATGATCTTGACTGAACGTGAAAAAATATTATTTTCATTGAAAGGTACATACATAAAAACCAAAAACTTGGCTTTTGCTGAAAAATAGCGCCATTTAACACAATAAAGGTCAATAAACAAAACAAAATGATCAGAAAACTAATTTCACTGGCGACACAACACGTGGATTCTAATGTAAATCAATGTCAATTACCAAAACAAATTGTTTCTATTGTGCCAACTGCCATTATAGTAGAGCGCTCAGGTGGATGTCTGTGGAACTGAACAATAAAGGCGGGAAACTGTCAAGATACTTATCTAAACGTAGTTGTTGTAATATGTGATAAACAATGAATACAGCTGATTTTTTTAGCAGTTTAGGGGCGTGTATACCAAATTAATTTAAAAAAATGACAATGGGACTTCTCAAACCCCAAAAAGTTCTCGTTACTTTCTGAACATACCCCGTATATCATTTATGAAGTATGCCCATCTGGGGTATTCCCACGTAACATATAATTAATGGAATGAGGCCAGTCATCATTTGCAAACTATTTACCCTCAATGGTGAAAGTGCGTGCAATATAGAGATTGAAAAAATTCTATTTTCATAAATGTCATGCGTTTTCAGAGTTAATTTCGCACTGTATATTTTTCAAGGATTTTGTGAGATGATGTCAGCCTATTTTCCTGAATTTGAATGCATAAATCACGCCACCGTTTGTCAGTGGATGTTTCAATTAGAAGCGAAGCTACATGAATCGGAACAGGCAGAAGATAAGAGTTCTACTCTGGACATATCTCTCCCTGAAATTGTTCCCAAAACTAAACCAAGGTGAGTTCTTATGAAAATACGTACCTCCCAGAATATTTTATGGAAAGAAAAATTGCTCAAAATGTATAAAAATATATGAGTTGGTGTATTTATTTTTGACGAGAAACATTCCATTTTTATATATCTATTAAAAACCAGAATTAAAACACTATCCCTTGGCTGTCCTTGTTCATCTTTCATTGCCTGAATCACTGTGCATGCTGTGTTTGGAGAGTGCATTGGCTTGGGATGTGGGGATTGAGCAAACGGCCATCGGATTCCTGCTTCCACGTAGCCCCGCTGGATACGGGAATGACAGAATCACTTGTGGATCTGTTATTCTCTAACTGAATGGCATCCCAACGATGGCCTAACCCTAAGGTGTGTGTATCCGTGCCGAGAGGATGAATGACACTGAGCCTATCAGCTGTCTCTATGGAACCTTCCAGATACCGGGCGCTTTATCGTCGTAGCATCGCCTTGTCACAGTAATGCGGGGCTCTGCCGTAATTAACCTTCTTTCTCTAGCTACTCGTGGGACTTTTATAGACAGAGTAAACTTGAAAATTCTTTCTGATGCTGTGTCTATAGAGGAGATGGATGTCCAGCTTACGACTCCAACTGACCTCCCTGTAAACTAGATCAGGAGCGAGTCTACAGAGGAGATGGAAGTCGAGTTTACGACTCCAACTGATCTTCCTGTAAAATTCAATTCAGGAGCGAGTCTACAGAGGAGATGGATGTCGAGTTTACGACTCCAGCTGACCTCCCTGTACATTTAGGTCAGGAGCGAGTCTACAGAGGAGATGCATATCGAGCTTACGACTCCAACTGACCTCCCTGTACATTTAGTTCAGGAGCGAGAGCTTCTCAACTCTCCAACTCCTAATCCAATAACTGAACCTAAAAAAAAGGTTTGGTGGTGCAACCAGGAAACGGCTGAGTCGTCTCTTCAAGAGCAGGGTACCTTATGAAACCGCCTTGTGAGTGTGAATAGGTGTGAGCCATAATAAACTTTTGCGGGTTGCGGTGGAGGGTCGAATAGACCCACTCACTTTGGATCTAACGTAACCTAACCTAGCATCATCAGGAAATGACTAAAACCGATACTTAATTCAGTTATATTCGGTAATGAGGTTCCATCAATGACGTTTCGTCCAAATGAATAAAAGATACTGTAACTCAGCTGAAATATTTAGTTTTGGCCACCTCCTGATGATGCTAACTTAGTTAGCAAAGAGTGCTTTGGGCGACAGTGCTTTAGTTCTGGTGTGGTTTGAATTATATCAAGGAGGTTACCTACAGCGCTATCTGCCCGCGAATAGATCAAGCAATAATGTCGATAATTCTGTCAAATACAGATCCTGAGCTTGAGAGTTACAAGCAAACAAACATACATACATACAAGATTTTCATACATTTTTCATTCTTAAGGTCCCATAACAATTCGGAGAGTGATGTTCCAAAACGAACTCATAAGCTGTCAGAAATGAGTGATGGAGGTTCCACCGACAGCTCATGTTGCGATTTTCCAGATGAAATGGATATTTTGCAGGAAATGTTCCCGTCAGTGTGTACCATTGAGGTGAGAGAAAAATTCATTCCGCCATTTTCAGCTGGTTGTTACACAGGGTGTTTATTGAACATGCGGCAAAAATTTAAAGGGGTTTTAACTTGGATTATTGTAAGGATATTTTATTCTTTGATGATTTTTGATAGGGCGTTTTGTTTCGAAGATACAGAGTGAAAATTTTGACCAAAAATTACATGTAATGTTTTCTAATCTACGAGAACTGTTGAAAGTGACTAACCCCCCGCTCGGGGGGTTAATGACTTTAGGTGTCCCATGGGAAATAATCCAGGGGGTTCACGTCCGGTGATCGAGCAGGCTATAAGTGAGGTCCACCTCGACCAATCCAGCGATCTCCGTATGTTACTGTTTGAAAACTCTCGAGACAAAATGCTAAAATGCGCTGGTGCACCATCGTGCGTAAACCATATTGCATTTCTTGTAACCAATGGTACATCCTCCAGAAACCGAGGTAGCGTTCGTTCCAAAAAGTTGCGGTATACCTCGCCGGTAAGTCTTCCTGACAGAAATACCGGTCCAATTAGGAAGTGACCTACAATTTCCACCCAAACGTTTAGCGAGAACTGATGATGAAGCGATCTTTAAGATGTGATGTGCTAAAAAAAGAGGCTTACAGGAATCTTGCACTCTAGCTCTGGTAATGAATCTCACTGCTCTTTTTTGTATTGTGAAAAGTTGACTCAATAAGTTTTGACAGCTGCTCCACCTGAAACAAATTCCATACCGCCAGTGGGACTCGAAAAGTGCAAAGTATGCTTTTCTAGCAGAGAGATAGTCCAAAGACTTAGCAATAGACCTTATCGCATAACAACTTGAGGATAATTTTTTGCATAGTATACTAATATGCGTTCCAAATTTTAATTTGTTGCCCATGTTGAGGCCTAAAAATTTGTTCTCTACTATCATGGCCAGCATATTCTCTTCTACTTCTACCGTTCTTACTGTCATTGATGTATACTTTGGAAGGTTTTTCTATTAGGCACATTACGATTAAAAAATCGTTCACTGTACAACCGCTTACCTTCCAATGAATTGCCATCAGCAAGTCCATAAATGAAATGCATGTCAGCCATTTCTGCCTTACTATAGCCATTCATGATAGATTCAACAATTTTGGTCTTTCAGTAAACAACCAAAATTCTTGAATCTATTCATTTCTAAACATTCTTTTCCAAATGTAACTCATCATAATCGTGGTTGAACTCATGTCCTTCTGCCAAAAGATAGTTTGAAAATGTGGAATTGAGCTTCCCATTCAAGAAACTAGTTGTATGTTCTTCAATTCTTTGGGAAAATTTTCTCCCCGTTTGGCCAATATAAAGTTTCAGGCAAGAACCACAAGTCAACTTATGTACTCCTGATCTACCCAACACTGAAGTTTTGTCTTTAATGTTTTTAATATATTTTAAGTTATCTTAGCTTCATTGAATATTGTCGTACTTGACTTTATTGTTGCCTATACATTAGTGACAATGTGAATGTATCCACCAGATTGGTAACAACACTTTGTCAATGATACTTAATTTTGAGATAATTAAATACATTTGATTGATTTGCTGACAATTGAGTTTTTTGTGGAAGTTTGTAATGAGTACATCTGGATAAAAATAGCGAGGATTTGAATCAATTTCTAAATGAATCATGATACAAAATTATGCATTTATAGGTGAAACACTGCCTCGCCATAGCAGCTGGAGACATTGAACGTGCCACTCAAATACTCATCGATCGCCAAGAGAGTGGCCAATGCTTGGCTCAGAACAATTCTCTAACCATTCAAGTGAGTAAAAAAACAATCGACGATTCCGAACTCAAACATCGTATCATAGAAAGATACTCTTACGTCGACAAAGACGCCTTCAATAAGGAGCATCGACCTGTCGCTCCAAAAGTCGAACCTAAAAAGATGGTTCGCTATCGAGACAACAAAATAGTGAGTCTCAAGGGGGAGAGGTTCACAGAGGTTAAGAAAGGAGAGGATGTCGACGATATTTCGTTAAAGAAAAACAAGAAAGGCCATACTCCGTAACCCAATGGTCGAGAAACTCTTGACAGGAAGTCCGAGGTAGGGTTTTTCGACGGTTTTAATTTTTTTATTTTACTCGACTACTTAACTACTTCTTATTTTTATGTTATGTTAGTTCCTTTTGTTCGAATATTTTATTTATATGTAATGGTTGTGTTTCCTCGTAGAAATCATTTATCGAAATACTCGAAAGCTGGATTGTTGAGTATTATTTTTTGTTGCATCAAAGTCGTATTGAATGTACGAAAGTATTTGTTAGATAGATGTAATGTAGCTAACTCAGAACACAAGGTGTTGATTAGTGATTCAATGTTGAGGTATAGATCTGCGTTAAAATTATATATAATTCTCATCAGTTTTAACTAGCTATAAGGAGCAAGTGTTAAGCTGGAGTGTTGGCCTTGAACAACCAAAAAAAATGTAACTCCACACTCTTCATGACTACTTCAGTACTGCGTTTTTTAAGATTAGTAACATTGTTGCTGTGATATTGATACTATTTTACTGTGAAATAATTTATTTTCAGGTGTGGTGAATAAAAATTTGGTAGAAGGCTTTTCAAACTGTGGTTTCAGGTTTTCAGACAGTCGTTTGTTAAAATTTCTTCCTGACGTTTCACTGGCGTGGGTGGCTGGTATCTCAGAGGTATGTGTTACCGCTTCTTAGGTTAAAATTCACAGTGTATGAGTGGCCGGAGAAGAGGGAAGGCCTCACCTGACCAATCACGATCATAGAATAGTTATTAATGAATATTATTCTATTGTTTATTCACCTATGCCTCCGCCTCCGTTGAATTTTGCTTTAGCGGAAGTCATCTTTTACATTTTCGCCTCTCAGCTTCCCTACACAACGGGATCTGTCGGAAAACGACTATTTGTTTGGCAGATACCACGACGGAGATTGGGCAGATAAAGTTCTTGCACACAACTTCGGAAAATAATCGAGTATCCACCTACAGACTAGTTCAAAGATGTCTTATGACATCTAGAAAGAGAGTGGACACATTTTACCCAGTCATTACCTTTCTGGAATAATATTGACATTTTGTCAGTACAATTACAATAACGTTTACCGTTTGTCATCAATCGAAGATGATTGTCGATACTAGCAATTGAAACGTCATGAAGTAACTTGGTTTGAAATCTGTTTTTTTTTTGTTTTCATTTTATTGTTTTTCAATTTTTTGATTACTTTCAACTTCTTTTTCTGACTTATGTCTTATTTTTATTTTCATTCTTTTTTATTTCTTTTTACTCTGTGGTCTTTGTCAGCTTTTATCTTAATTATTTTATTCCTTGTATTCTCATTTCACGTATTATTGTTTAATATAATTGATATTCCAGCAATTCATTTTAATTTTAATTGTTCATTAGAATTCTTTAGAATCATATTACACAGTGGAAGTGAAAACTAGTAAAATAACGTTTACATTGAAAGAGTAATTGCTACCGTTTTCATTGTATACATGAATTTTTCCAATTCATCCATCTGTCACCACATTAAATAAAGATACAATGGCGGAACTTGTTGAACACATACAAATATTGTTGTTATTATTATCAGATGATAAAATTCCAACTGAAGGAACTATATTTATATTACCATGATCAGTTTTCCACCTAGAAAATAATAGTATTTCCAGATTACTTCGAAACTTGTGAGAAAACAATAAGTACTGTTAATTTTATGTCCCTCTATGCAAGTACCATATCAGTCTCTCCCGTACTGTGAATTTCCCCAACCTTATGGATCTATTAAATGTAGTTAATTCATTAAACGTCCGATTATAAAAAAAATGTGATAAGTTCGAGGTCTACACATCTTCGCTTGACAACTTGCTCCAGTTTTATGTAAACCTTCATTAGTATTACTATGTTAAGTATTAAGCTAGTCAAATATTAAAAATGTTTTGAGGCATTTTTGTCCTTTATTGTAAGGTTTTAATTGGAAGTTATTGATGAAAATCAAGGTGATGGTCATTTTTCCGACTGTAATTTCTTTGAGTGTCCCATTGTTGAAGGTAACATATATTTGTGTTACAGATATGAACCGATAGTGATGGAGTAAGCGGAAGCTTCTCATACAAGGTGTACAAATTGAGTAGCGAGAAAAATTCTTTGAAATATTATTTGAATAAAAGTTTATAAATGTCGATAATAACTCGTGTATCTCCCCAAACGTTTTTAAAACTTCTTCGTTAATTGACTGTCAGACCTTGAGACACAAACCGTTTTGGACAATACCTTCTGTTTGAACACAGAAGTCTTCTCACTTGTTACGGCGCATTCTACAAAATGAGTTATCCATCTTGTATCGTCTGCCTAAGTTTTTCCAAAATTTCCGTTGCATTAGTTCACAATATAATGCTAAGAATAATCAAAAGCCTCGTGTTTTTCACATGTCTACTTCCTGCCTTTCTAAGGCCTACATTATCTATGTTGCAAGATGTAATAATTAGACTCGTTACTTGATTTGCACAGCTTATGATCAGTTTTTTGTCAAGGAAATGTTGTTGTTCTGTGCCATTATTGCCTCTTCATATTGAAGTTGGCCCATTTTTTATTAGAAAAACGTGACTTCCATCTGATAATTTTCAATTACTTCGAAGTACTGCCTTTTCGAATATTCATTTAAGAATACCTGTGATTTTTCTCTCTTAAATTGAAGCCTTGGTATACCGATATGTTTCTCTTATTGAACATTTATCCTGCATTCAATATTTTGAGCACTTGAAAATTTTGTAGAAAATTTCATTTCCTACATGTGGAGAATTCATATAGGCAACTATTATAACTCCGTGAAGTGAACAATCAGTGTTGAATGCATATTGATATTGTCGATAAGATTTAAGATTTCTCAATTGTCCCAAATAGAAATTTTATTTATCTGATTACAAGATATTTTGTATTATAATTATTTTCTTTAAAGCACATGTTATCACTTAGTGTATTTTTTTACTTTGCCAGTGTGAAAGAAATAAATTTTTTCAACTTCCATCTTTCCTTTCATTTGCTATTTGATACATCTCCAAGGGTTTGCAGGAGTCTCGATTTTTGGCATCACACATACATCGTTTAAGCTCTTTTCTGTATAATGAAAACAGTCTGCAATTGAGCTTTGCACAGAAAGGAATTCCATAATTTGAAGGAGAATCAATGAGTTAGAAATAATTCAATTCAGCGGCAGACAAACCAAGTTCCTTATAAGTTATTCTCACTGCAAAACACCCTCAAGCTACCTTTTTATTGAGGGTTAGAATGTGATTGGCGAATTTCAGTTTACTGTCAATCATTTCCGTCAAAAATTTGGAACTAGGTGTGTTTTCGATTATCTTGTCTGCGTTCTTTGTTGCCAATGTTTCATTTGACAGTCTGAATATTAATTTCTTGCTATTGGTATAAGAGGTCCTATGCTTGACTTACTTGGTTCATATTTATCTGAGCGCAAGTTTTATGTTCAGATAAAAAACGAAAAACTGATATAGTTGATACTAATATGGGCATTCCACAGGGACCTGTGCTGGGGCCACCTCTGTTTCTTATCTTCATTAATGATATATTAAAGGATAGGCTAATACTGTATGCAGACGATTCCTGGGTAGTGATTGCGGCACAGACTCTTGAGGAATTGCATCAAAAAACAAAATGTTGTAGTCAACACGTGTAATCAAAATTCAATTAAATTAAATCTTAATAAGACAACATATATGAACTTTAGATACAGAAGGAATACTATACGTGTATTTGGGTGTTCATTTGGATGTGTTTGTGAGTTGGGACAAACACATAAATCATATCAGTAAGAACCTTAGCTCAGTATTTTATGTCATTGTACAATTGAAGAAAACATTGAATTTGAGTACTCTCATTTGTGTATACTATTCTTTAGTTTATAGTCATCTATCATACAATGTCTATGGGGTAACCCTGTTAACCCGCAGAAAGTATTTATTAAACAGAAAAGAATCATGAGACTTATCTTTAATATCCTACATGGTGACCCCTGCAGGCATGTCATTAAAAAGAATTATATCATAACCCTACCATCTATTCTCATAATTAAAGCTCTACTTTACGTTAAAAACAACTCGCATAGGTTTTTAAAACATTCTGATTGTCATAGATATTTCACCAGGAATGCTCATGATTTTGATATTATTAGACACAAGATTAAGTCATGCATGTCTCAGTACAAGCCAAATTTAGGTGAAACCGTGAAAGGCTCATTAAATGAGTTATGGTTCCTTAGTTCATACCCACATTTAGTTGGATAACTGTGGTAATTCTAGAGCTAATACATGCAATCTATCTCTTACTGAAATATCCCCGAACTATTTGGAAATTATTCTTTACAATCATTTATCTCGAGAAATCATAAAAATGAATCTAACCAAGTTCAAATCGACAATAAAGCGCTCATTGACTCAAGGAGCTTATCATAATCTAACTTAGTACTATGAATCTAAAGTCTATCCAAATTCAAGATAGAGTAAAACAAAACAAAATTGAAGCGTGATGTTCACGTGATCGCCCAGTGTCGAAAAAGTGCAGCGTTCATTGGTGAATTCGCCTTCTTGGTACGAGTTCGGTACCAGCACAGGGTTGTAATCAGTCGTTTGTGTGGTGTGCGTTATAGTATATTGTTTAAAATTGTTTTCCAAGATGTCCAGTACAGACACTGCTGATGACACTGTGAGCTATCCTCTGAGTCCAGTCAGGAAACGATCCAAAAAAAGACATTTGAGTGTTGAGATGAAAGAAGTGATTTTAAATGTGTTCAAGAAAGAGATGGAAGAAATTGAGNCATCTACGGATGGCTGCTATATGATAATACGAATAAATATATTATTATTATTTTGGTATGCTGTCTTGTGGAGTTTTATTACACCATAATATTGTGGTATCATCGGCGAATAGGGTAAATTTTTCTTCTATATCGATAGATGTAGAATCGTTAATGTATAACAAGAAAAGTATCGCTCCCAGTATTGAACTTTGTGGTACACCATCCTTCATTTCGTCTTCTGATGAGGATGGTAGGTTTTTACAATCTGACTTCTTCCTGCGAGGTAATTCTCAAACCATTTATGAGTAATTCCACGGATGCCACAGTGATAGTCCTACAAAATATCATCAACAATAAATAGCATCTTTAGAACCTATGGACAACAAAATTTGCTTTTCATTACCATTTCTTTTGAAAATTCATATATTTTTGCCAGTCTATATATTCAACAAAATTTTTACTAGTAATACCTACCTATTACTAGGTATATGCCATTTTGATACTTCCAGTTTTGAAATAATTTTCAATTTTAGCTTTGATATTTTTGGCACTGTAACCATGTCAAGATGATTTTCATTCCTTTTAGGGA